GGAATTCCGGGGGGGTATCCGGCAGCGTCTCCGGTATGCGGCATCGGTCTTGTCAGCGTTGGAAGCTTTTCTCTAGTCTTATCAGGCGTTACCAGATCGCGTGCATCCAGGAATCGCACGGCCATGAGGGGGGCCTCGTCTGTTTGCTGAAGGAATTCCCCAAGCATCGTTTCTTCTTCAGCCCGCACCCGATGAACACTCGTGGTCATGGGGTCCTGTTGTGTATTCCGAAGCGTGTTGCTGGGTGTTTCACCTGTTTCTACCGTAGAGTTGTGGTTCCTTGGAAGATATCTTATGTCCTGGGCCGGGGCCCCTCTGGGATCCTTGGGCTTGCGGTGGTCCACCTGCCGAACGTTGATGCCAGCATCGGTCTCTATCGTCAGCAGTTGATCCATCTGCAGTCGACGCTCCTCTCTGCCTCTCCCGCCGCGAATCTTATCCTCGGGGATTTCAATTTTGCGCTCAGTGACGAGGGCCGTTTTCAGGTGCAGCCGGGCACTTTCACTCGTGGGGGCACTGCTCACATTGGGGAGTGGAGTCCATGCTTTGGATCGCTCACAGAGCTGCACCAGCCTCTCGATGCTCGTCGGGCCTGCCAGGGGACACAGATCGCGGGGGCCGCTCGGTTGCATCGGGTCTACATCAGCACGTTCCCGTCTGTCTTGAACGATTTCGCGATCACTGGTTCTACTATTGGTATGCCCACCAACCGTAAGAATCCTTCGGGCCACGTTCTTGTCGTTGCCACGGTTGCTCCTAAGCCCCGACCAGGCCCTGGACCGCCCCCGATCCCTGCCTGGATCCCTCGAACACCTGAGTACCAGACCATACTTGCTGGAAGGCTCGCAGAGGTTGACATCAATCCAGGGCCCGAGGATCAGCCGGCAGCTACGAGGGCGGCGACGCATGAGGCCCACTCCGAGTTTCGGAAAGTCTTGCGACGCAGAGAGGCCGCTACGACGCGAATTTCTTCACTGGGGTGCGTCGGCCCGTCGCGCGTTTCGAACTGGCCCTTCATCTCACTATCTTCTAGTCCGCGCTGTGCGTGCTTACCCCGCTCTCTCTCTGACTTCTTTGATGTTGGCGCGCGCGCTCCGGTGGACGACGCGGGCCGACGAGGAAGACCCGGCGATTGAGCAGGCCGCCTCTATTCCCCAGCACGAGTTGCAGCGACGGCGCGCGCGCGTGCAGCGCAATCGCGAACGATGGCGCCCATTGAACCCCACTGTCCGTCTCGGTGATATTCTGCACGAGCACACTGGTGTTCATTGTACGTCTCTCGAGCACGCGGGGCATGAGCTTGCGCGTCATTGGGGTGGAGTGTTTGCTTCAGTCGATCCCGATCGCTCTCTCTGGGACTCCCTGGAAGCGTTCATTTAGAAGGCTTCGGACGTTTACCCTGACCTGGAGTGGATCCTGGATCAGGAAGCGTTTGCTGATTTAGTGAAAGCCACGGGGGGGTATATGCCGGGTGTTAATGGGTTCCATATAGCTGCTGGAATATTCCAGAAGCTCAGGAGAAGCTTCACCTGTTCCATCGGCATTGCATCGCTCATCCATGGGCTGCTGGCCCCCCACCAGTTGATTGTGAGAAGTGGGACACCCCTGGCATCAACGAGACGACGGAAGGATGCATGGGGCGCGGCACTCCGGGCCATCCCATTCTTATGGCAGGTGAGGCGTCTGGAGGGCCAGATTCAAGTATCCCGAAGTTCCGCGGGGTAGGTATTGCGATTGCGAAGTTCGATAGCTTGGAGCCTAGAGTGATAGTGGACTCATCGGCCTACGGACCTCTGGTTGGCCCACGTCAGGTTGTGGCCCGCGGCGAGATCCGCGCGTTCGCGCTTGCCGTGTTGGCCACCAGAGGCACTATGACGTACATCACGGACTACGAGCCGCTGGTCCAGTCATGGTACGAGAGCATATGAGCGACCCCGTGGTGATGACGGAGACTTGTGGGTTGCTTTGGCGGACTTGCTCCGCGTTCGAGACCCTGCGGACACTTCCACATTGTTTACGCACAGTCATCAAGATCAGCATGACATCGTGGAAGGACGCGCAGTCAGGAGTTTGGTCCTCGCAAACACAGTGGCCGACGAGTTGGCCGACCATGCAGCGCTGCAATGTCGCCTCCCACAGAGCGAGCGACACCGAGTGCAGCAACACGAGGTTCGCGCGCGCAGGGCACTACGCCTGCGCCTTCTGCGAGCCACGCTGGACTGCCTCGACGCCAAGGCCGAGCAGAACGTCGCGGGGAGGCGGGAGTTGAGAGAGAGAGGGGTTCCTGAGGTTCCTCCCCCACCTCCCCCTCCTCCTCCTCCCTCTGCTGCTGCTGTTGCTCAGCTTTTGTCTGGTCATTCCCTCGATGAGTCGAGAAGGACATGTCTGCGTTGTTTCGGGCCGGCGTCCGTGGTCACGGCGCCCGAGTGGATCAGCGCGCCGTGCCCTCAGCTTGCGAATGTTAATGGAACCCTGTGGTCCCCGTCGACGGTTTCTAGAATTCATGTAGCGGGGGGCTGGCTACACTCTTCCCATTTCCTCAACTATCATTCCGTTTTGAAACTTTGGTTATGTGGGAGGTGCGGGGGGGTAGCTGACAAGCAGCTGCGGTCCCTCGGCAAGCCGTGCACCCCCATCACCCCCACAGGTAAAGTGCATTTAGATCGCATCAGCGACGGATTAAAACCCAAGGTCTTGAGCAAGGCCGAACCGAGCAGTCGGCAGCAACGGTCCTTTCTGTAGTGCGGTTTTATGTCACAACTTGCACCCCGCAAGTGGTTCATACTCATATTCATACTCATACTCCTCCTCCTCCTCCTCCTCCTTCTCCTCCTCCTCCGCTTCCTCCTCCTCCTCCTCCTCCTCTTCCTCCTCCCCCTCCTCCTCCCCCCCTTTTCCGTAGTGCGAATGCTTTCAAGCGACCCTGAAGGCGGGACCTCCCAGGGACCCTCGTTGGCGACCACCTTGGACCCGCCGTGACCCTTGTGGGGGGCGCGGCGTTTTGACAAGGGACCCCCCCCCAGCACAGGCGTGACCTCCCCCGGGACCCCCGTTGCCATCCTTCGCTGGCGATCCCCTTTGGAACCCGCTGGGATCTTGGGGCGGGCGGCATTGCAATTCGCGAATGCCCCCCCCCGCCCCCCCCCAGGCAGGACCTCCCCCTGGGATCCCCCCTGACGATCCCCCCCTGGGCCCGCTGGCACCCCAAGGAGGGCGGCAGTTTCTTACCTGGGACCCCCACCCCACCCCACCCAACCCCCCACCCACCCACCCGCCCCACCAGCCGCTTCCCACCCCCTTCCCTCCCCGGCAGGGAAGGGAACAAGAAAGGGAACCAATTAAATTTCGACATTCCTCCTGCTGGCTTCCAATTCCCCCAGGGCTGACGACGACGACGACGACGACTCAAATCTAAAAGCGTGATACACGCACACACACACACACACACACACGCACACACACACGCACGTACGTCGAAGGGTCGGCGGATTCTTTATCGGTGCATACCCCTACTATACCATCTAGCTGGCCGACAGCAGCCCCATCCAGGGGGTCCCATCCTACGTCGTCCATACTGCAACACGCGCGGCGGGAACGGGACGGGGCATACATCCCGCGCGAAAGGCCGAAATGTCGCTTTCGTTTCGGCGCCGCGCTAATTTGTCTAGAAGGTTGAACTCCCGCGCGGGTGCGGCGCACCGTTTTCGCACGCACGTTCGTCGACGCGCGAGCGGACGAAGAGGTCGCTCTCGCCCCGGTGCCGCGCAGATGTCGCTTGAAAGTAGTGTTCCCGCCTCGATGCGGATCATCTTGTAGTGGCCTCCCGCCAGTGCCGCTGATCCTGGACGCTTCCGTTACTGCCAGAAGCGCACGATGGCGGTCATGACCGGCGACGACGGCGAGCGGTGAGGATGATGATGAGGATTCTCCCGCCTCGACGCGGATATTTTGTCACTCGCCATTTTTTGGGGCCCGCGCGAGTGGGCGTGACTTGTCGCCCTCACCCAGATTCCGTACGCATTTCGTTCGGAATTGGCCTTCCAGCGCGGGCGCGGCGCATGGTTCGTTCGCCGAAGCGCACGAAAGCGACAGCGGCAGCGAGCCGCGCGAGAGCGGGCGAAGTGTCAACCTCGCCCAAGCGTCGCGCAGCTCGTGTGTGCGAAAACTGCGGTGCTGTGTCAGCGCGGCGCATGCTTCTTCTTTGCCGCGCCCATCGGAAGTTTTGCCGCTCTCGCCTCTGCGCGGCCAGCGTAGTTTTCTCTTCGCCAAGTCGTCGGAAGCGGGGCCGCGCGCGAGCGCCGTCCGTTTACGAGGTGGGAGCGCTTCCAATCCTAATATCTTGCTGTGCCATAATGTGCTCTCATGTGGGGCGAGGGGGAGTGGGAGTAGGCAGGGCTATCTGATTCATTCGACCTGGCCAACTTGACTCTGACTCCTACCCCTACTTTTCTTCCCCTGAGATCCGACGGTACAACGACATGAAAGCTCGTCCGAAAGCTCGTCCGAAAAACACCGTCGGAGCCTTGGGCCCCAGGTTTCTGCGCCAGTGTTCTGGCGGATCGGATCGATCTGTGAGGGCCTTGGGGCCGAAGCTGGGCGAAAGCACACCATGCGAAAAATTGCGCCGCCAGGATCTCGGGGTGGGCGTTGTGGTTAATGGGCGCTCAAGGAGCAAGAGGAGCAGGATGATGATAATGAGGAGGAACAGCTAGAGGGGGATACCGATGATCAGGAGGAGGAGGAGGAGGAGGACAACGTCGATGTCGAGGAGGAGGAGGAGGAGGAGGAGGAGGAGGAGGAGGAGGAGGAGGAGGAGGACCAGGAGTCCAGAGGATATTGAGGAAGGAGGGGGCCAATTAGCTAAGTTGGAGGAGGAGGAGGAGGAGGAGGAGGAGGAGGAGGAGGAGGGGGATGTTGGCGCAAACTCGAGAGCGCCGAGTTCTAACCAGAACAAAGCGCCGAATGTAACCAACAGGGTTTTCTTTACACACCCCGCATAGGAGCGCCGGCGGGAGCCAAGCCCCGCGCAGGGATGGCCCTGCGGTTTCACCTCCTGCTCGTGTTGCGGGAAGCCAGCGTGACGCCCGGAGGTAAGGGGAACAAGTTCTCATCGAACCCAGACCTCCTCGCGTCGTGAAAAAAATCACGACGGGAGGTTTTGCATATTTTCGGCCTCTGGGGGCCCTTGCCTGGCCCCGGGACAGTCAAAAAACGACTCAGGATGAAAATTGGTCCTGGGGAAGGGGTCCAGACTTCTGGGGGTCGACGTCATGAAAAGATCATGACATCGGGGGTCTGGGAATCGAAGCTCATCGAACCGAAGCTCATCGAATGTTCTCGGACCCACTCCTGTCCAGCCCAGCGCAGGCGAACGCGAAAGCCTCGCGCAAGCCAATGGCTGTGTCTCGCGAAGTGTTTGTGAGGGGCCCGTTTGGGAAGAAGAGCTCACAAGAAGAGCCAGCCCCCGCAAAATTTCCAGGGACCTCGCGCGGGCCGGCGGGGCGCCGCGGGCTCCAGAAGGGCGGTGGGCTCCCTCCTCCTTCCTCCTCCTCCTCCTCCTCCTCCTCCTCCTCCTCCTCCTCCTCCTCCTCCTCTCCTCCTCCTCCTCCTCCTCCTCCTCCTCCTCCTCCTCCTCCTCCGTTCCCTTGCTCTCGACGCCTGGTCGGCGACGGGGCGACCACGAGCCGGCCGAGACCCACACACGACAGGCCCAGACGGGCCAGCGGCGACGGGGCGACGGGCGGGCGCTGAGAGGCGGCGGGGCGACCATGATGCCCGCCGTGGCGACACGCGAGCCCAGTCTTGCGTCGGGCCTGTCTTTCTACAGGAGGAAGATTCAACAATCATCCCAACAATAGTCTGGGGGGCGATGTTTGCTCGTATGTTTCATGATTTGGGGCATTTTTTCTATTATTTTCTTGCACAGGGTGTCTAGAGCTCCGACCACTTTATTTCGGCGTCCTCGTCGCTCCCCCCCAGCTGCCTTGTGCCCTTCATGTGTCGCTATATGTGTCGCTGTGTGCCTTGTGCCCTTGATGTGCCGCTATATGTGTCGCTGTGTGTCGCTATGCGTCTCCATGTGTGCGTCGCTATGTGTCGCTGTGTGTCGCTATGCGTCGATATGTGTGTGTCGATATATGTATATGTGTCGACATGTCTCGCTATGTGTCGCTCCCCAGCATCCCAGCGCACCGCCCCCTCCGCCCCGACGACTTCATTTCGGCGTCGTCGTCGCCCCCCCCCCCCCTCTCCCTCTCCTCAGCAGCCCAGCGCGCTGCCCCCTCCGCCCCGACCACTTTATTTCGGCGTTGTGATGACATGTGTCGCTATGTGTCGCTCCCCAGCACCCAAGCGCACCGCCCCCTCCGCCCCGACGACTTTATTTCGGCGTCGTCGTCGCCCACCCCCCCTCTCCCTCTCCTCAGCAGCCCAGCGCGCTGCCCCCTCCGCCCCGACCACTTTATTTCGGCGTTGTGTCGACATGCGTCGCTATGCGTCGCTCCCCAGCACCCCAGCGCACCGCCCCCTCCGCCCCGACGACTTTATTTCGGCGTCGTCGTCGCCCCCCCCCCTCTCCCTCTCCTCAGCAGCCCAGCGCGCTGCCCCCTCCGCCCCGACCATTTTATTTCGGCGTCGTCGTCGCCCCCCCCGGTCCTTTTCCCCAGCAGCCCAGCGCACCGCCCTCTCCGCCCCGACCACTTTTATTTCGGCGTCGTCGTCGCCCTATTTCGGCGTTGTGTCGACATGTGTCGCTTTCCCCAGCAGCCCAGCGCACCGCCCTCTCCGCCCCGACCACTTTATTTCGGCGTCGTCGTCGCCCTATTTCGGCGTTGTGTCGACATGTGTCGCTATGTGTCGCTCCCCAGCACCCCAGCGCACCGCCCCCTCCGCCCCGACGACTTTATTTCGGCGTCGTCGTCGCCCCCCCCCCCTCTCCCTCTCCTCAGCAGCCCAGCGCGCTGCCCCCTCCGCCCCGACGGCTTCATTTCGGCGTCGTCGTCGCCCCCCCCCCCCTCTCCCTCTCCCCAGCAGCCCAGCGCGCCGCCCTCTCCGCCCCGACCACTTTATTTCGGCGTCGTCGTCGCCCCCCCCCCATCCCCCTCTCCCGAGCAACCCAGCGCGCCGCCCCCTTTCGCCCCGACCACTTTGTTTCGGCGTCGTCGTCGCCCCCCCCCCCCTCCCCTTCTCCCCAGCAGCCCAGCCCAGCGCACCGCCCCCTCCGCCCCGACCACTTTATTCTCTTGCACAGGGTGTCTAGAGCTCCGACCATTTTATTTCGCGTCGCTCCCCCCCCCCCCGCGTCCTCAGCGCCAGAGTGGGGCCCCCGCGCCGTGGCTCTCTGCCCCAAGCCCCCCCGCGTCCCCAGCGCCCCAGCGGGGGCCCCGCCCACTGCCCCCTCCGCCACGAACGCTTTATCCCGCGTCGCCCCCCCCGCCCCCCCGCGTCCCCAGCGCCAGTGTGAGGCCCACGCGCCGTGGCTTTCTGCCCCGAGCCCACCGCGTCCCCAGCGCCCCAGCGGGGGCCCCGCCCACTGCCCCCTCCGCCACGAACGGTTTCTCCCGCGTCGCAGCTCCCCCCCCTCCCCCGCGTCTCCAGCGCCAGTGTGGGACCCCTGCGCCGTGGCTCTCTGCCCCAAGCCCCACTGCGTCCCCAGCGCCCCAGCGGGGCCCCCGCCCACTGCCCCCTCCGACACGAACGCTGTATTACACGTCGCACCCCCCCCCTCCGCGTCCCCAGCGCCAGAGTGGGACCCCCGCGCCGTGGTTCTCTGCCCCGAGCCCCCCCGCGTCCCCAGCGCCCCAGCGGGGGCCCCGCCCACTGCCCCTTCCGCCACTAACGCTTCATCCCGCGTCGCGCCGCACACCACCTCCCCCACCTCCCTCCCCGCGTCCCCAGCGCCCCAGTGGGGACTCCGCCCCGTGCCCCCTCCGCCCCGACAATTTTATTCCGCGTCGCGACGCACGCCACCTCCCCCCCTTCCCCCCCTTTCCCCAGCGCCCCAGTTGGACCCCCGCCCCGTGGCCCTCTGCCCCAAGCCCCGCCCAGTGCCCCCTCCGCCCCGACAGTTTATTCCGCGTCGCGGCACACACCACCCCCCCTCCTCTCCGCGCCCCCAGCGCCCCAGTGGGACCTCCGCCCCGTGCTCCCTCCGCTCCGAGCACTTTATTCCGCGTCGCGACGCACGCCGCCTCCCCCACCCTCCCCACCTGGGACTTGGGCCCCGTTGCTGGGCCCAGAGGGCGATGCCTTGCCCCCTCTTCCCCCCTCCTCCTCCTCCTCCTCCTCCTCCTCCTCCTCCTCCTCCTCCTCCTCCTCCTCCTCCTCCTCCTCCTCCTCCTCCTCCTCCTCCTCTCTCCTCCCTCCTCCTCCTCCTCCTCCTCCTCCTCCTCCTCCTCCTCCTCCTCCTCCTCCTCCTCCTCCTCCTCCTCCCCTCCTCCTCCTCCTCCTCCTCCTCCTCCTCCTCCTCCTCTCCTCCTCCTCCTCATCCTCCTCCTCCTCCTCCTCCTCCTCCTCCTCCTCCTCCTCCTCCTCCTCCCCCTTCCTTTTTGTGCAAGGGCTATGGCACACGTGCCACTTGTTTTAAATATTTCACCCAAAATCCGCCTGTAGGGGGACACGCCAGACCTAAGCCTGGTCCCAACCCGAAAAGTTCATCCCTCCCCAAACTCTGGAAGTAAAAAAGGGGTGTGGCATAAAGGGGTGTGGTGCCAGTCGTGTAAATGGCGATGCTGTCTGCGATAAATCGCATCGCCGGAGTCCCCTTTACATGAAATTAACACACCACACCCCTTTTATGCCATACCACGCCATGATTTGTTCATGACGTCGACCCCCAGAGGTCTCGACCCACTCCACGGGGCCAGCCTTCATCCCGAGTCGTTCCCGGGCGGTCCCGAGGCCCGGGCGGGGGCTCCCGGAGGCCGAAAGCAGCGAACAGCCTTCCGTCGTGGCACACTGCGATCCCACGTTGCAGAACAGGTGCAGCATCGCAAAAGATCACGACCGGACCCCCAGGCCCCCATCTTTCTGCGTCATTTTGAGGGGGGGAAGGCCCGAAGGGGAGGGAGCCTGAGATCCTGGCGACTCCATTTTTTCGAGCCGGGCCTTGTCGCTCAACGTCGGGCCCTGGGACCCTCACAGATCGATCCGGCTCGAAAAACGACGCAGAAAGATGGGGTCCGGGGGTCCGGTCGCAGTTTGTTGCGATGTCACAATTTTCTGCTACGTCGGATCTCGGGGGGGGGAAGGCCTCCCGGAGGGGAAAGCCCAGAGGGGGGGGGGGGGGGAGGCCCCGAGGGGGAAGGAGGGGAAGCGGGGCCTCCCCTCGGCCCGGAGGGGAAGAAGGGGAGTGCGGGGGGGGGAGGGGGGAGGCTTCTCAGAAGCACCCCTGCCTCTCAGAAGGCTCGGGCCTTGTCTGTAGATGCAGGGCCGGGCCTTCCAGAAAGCAGCCTCCTCCTAAGAAGACTTCCCCCCTCCGCCTACCCCCGTGTGCGCGCCGCCAAGAGAAGGTTTCGAGGGGAAGCGGGGCCCCCCCCAGACATGCTCGCGTCGCGAAAAGCAAAAATCAAAACAAAAAAGAATAAACAACAAAAAGAGAGAGAGAGAGAGAGAGAGAAACAACAAAAAAAACAAGCAAAAAAAACGACGGAAGGTTTGCGGCCTCGGGAGGCCCTCGCCGGGCCACGGGACCATCAGAAGACGACTTGGGATAGGAAGCTGGCCCTGGGGAGAAGGGGTCGGGGCGTTGGGGGATTCCAGCTGGGGGTCTGAGGTGGTCCAGCACTGGCTCCAGCCAGCAGGAGGGGGGGGTAAGGGTCGAGGTTCTGGGTTCGAGAGGGTTTCTTGCCTTTCTCACTCTCTGGCTCGGGCCACGGGACCGTCCGAAACGGATCCCGGGAGAAGCGCTGCACCAGATGCGCCCCAGGAAGGTTCCAGAGACTGATTTTGAACGGACTCGGCCTCATCCCCCCTTCCTGGCCGATGTTCTGGGGCCTCAACCAGTTCAGTCAGAAGGGAAAGAAACACACGGACACAATTAATCGTCGATTCCCCAGAAAATATGGGAAAATAGGGGAAGTGGGGGGGGGAAGACAGAAACCCCAAAAATATGAGAAAATATGGGGAATATGTTTTATTCGTGTGTATTTATGTGTGTGTCCTGGGGCCCCTTCAGTTCTGGGGCCTCAACCAGTTCCGATCCCCCAGCCGCCTCCAGGTTCGCCGCCCCCTGGGGCAGCTTCTTCGCACTTGCCGTCGTCGCCCGGCTTCGGGCCCCCGGGGCTATCGCAGCTCGGCCGGGCTCGAGAAGTGCCGCGGAGAGAGGGGGGTCCAGGGCTCGGGTCGGGCTTGTGCCTCCAATGATGCTCTCGTGGCGTCGGAGGGGAAAGTCTGGAGGGGAAACGGGGCCCCAAGGTGTTGTTCGCCTTCCGTCCTCCCAGGCGTGCTCGCGCCGCGAACACAAAAAAAAAAAAACAAAAAAAAAAAAAAAAAAAAAAAAAACGACGGAAGGTTTCCGGCCGTTTTCGGCCTCGGGTGGCCCTCGCCCGGGCCACGGGGCCAGCAGAAGACGGCTCGGGAGGGAAGCCCAGCCCCGGGGAGGAAGGGTCGGGGCGTTTTGGGGGACCCCGCTTTGGAAAACCAGGGCGCCAGGTGATGTTTGGGGCTGTTCGCTGGGTGGGGGCTTCTCGGGGGCCCCGCACTGAAAGATCGGGACGTCGGATGATGTCCGGGGTTGTTCGCCTTCCTCCCCCCCTCCCAGGGCCCCCCTCTTCCCGCGGTCGAGCTCAGGGGACAGGAAGTTGATCGTCGGGGGAGGCCCCATGGTCCAGGGCCCGCTCACCTCGGGGCCCGAGTCTCTGGTCTGGCCACGCGCGGGAGATCGACGACAGAGTTGACGCATCCCAGAATCGAACTTCCCGCCGAACTTACGACGAGTATGTAGGACGATTGATGATATTCGAACATGCTGCGCATGGTTCGTAGATGCGACGGAGAAGAATTCTGGGGCAGCTCACTTCTGCTGTCGATCCCGAACTCGAAGAGTGACCCTCCGCCGGAGTAACCTCTGGTGTGGGTCCACAAGGGGCCCCCCAACACTGGCTTGCGCGCTTGGATATGGCCCCCCGCGGCCCGAGAAAGACGCGGGCCAAACCCAGACCACCGACGTCATGATTTCTTACACCGAAGCCCAGAGGCCTCGACCCACTCCCCGGGACCGGTTGTTCATCCTGGGTCGTTGTTTGGCGGTCCCGAGGCCCGGTGAGGGCCCCAGAGGCCGAAAGTAGCGATAAGCCTCCCGTCCTGATTTTTTGTGTGTCTCGAGGGGGCCCGGGAAGGTCGCTTTTGCCTAGGGTCACTCCTGCGTACAGCCGAGTCGTGCCAGCTTGTGCGCAGGCGCTGCGCGGACGCACCCGCGGAGCCGCGGCGAGCCCCCCCTCGGGCGAGGCAGGCGGGCGGGACCCTGATGCGGGCCCACGCCAGTGGCGACGCAAGCGAAAAGAGCTCGGGCGAGAGGGGGGGGCACACAACCTTGAAAACAGTGTGTGTTGCGGATACCCTCCTCGCTCAGGCGGGGCCTGCCTGTAGGGGTGGGAGGGGCACGAAGCCTTGTAAATTGTGTGCATGTGTTGCGGATACCCTCCTCGTGGGAGGGGCATGAGAGCTTGAAAATAGTATGTGTTGCGGATACCCTCCTCGCTAGGGCTCATGTCGACCCCTCCGATTCGATTCGATTTCGATGGCTTCCGATTCCGACTCCGATCCGATCCCTGCTTGGGATTCCGACCCGGACGCCGATTTCTCAGCGGAGGCCTTGCCAGCCTGCCGAGGTCCGCCGATCCGACTTCTCGCGACGTGGCTGCCGAGATCCGCCGATCCGATCCGCTTCGATCGCCGCTTCGACGTATCGATCCGAGTCTGGGCTCCCGGGGGGGCCCTGGCCCTCTCAGGAGCTGGGCACCCCGCGCCTTCTGACAAGCCAGGGGAGGGCCTTCTTGGACGACCGCCCCCCCTCGCCCTATACCCCCGCCGTGCTCGCCGCCGACGCTGGCCCCGCGAGATCGGGTGGTCCCCCGCCCCAGCTGCAAAGGCGCACTAGACAGGCCGTGGCTTCTGTTGCTCCCGTCGTATTTGAAGACCACATCCCAGACATGGTTTCGGGCACCCAGAAAAGCGCCGAAACAGGGTCGAACGAGTATCACCTCCCAGGGCCCGACACGTGAAAACCATCAATCTTCGGTAATTATTTCTTGGTGCTCAAAATTCAACCTGGTGATCAAGGCTACAGTGTGTCGGAGCATCATAATAGGTCGTGGCAAACACCCGCGGGCACCTCCCCAGGCCCCCTTCGAGCCATGACAAAATCAGGACGGGTCGTTTTTCACGGTGCTCGGCCTCCGGGAGCCCCCTCCGGGCCTCTGGACGATCCAAAAACGACTCGGGATGCAACACCGGTCTCGGGGAATGGGTCAAGACCTTTGGGGGTCGACGTTATGACGAGATCATGACGTCGGTGGTTTGGGTCTCGCTTCCTTCGCTTGCGACCAGCTTTTTTTCTCCACCGTGTCCGCTCCTTCTGGGTCGCCTCCACAGTCACCGACGCTTGCCACCGTGGTACCAGGCATCTTGGTTCCCCTGTCTTCCCGAAGGTACTGCAGCTGACGGTCTGTTGCCACTGATTACCGCGACAATTCGCAGGCAGCTCGGTGCATTCGCGTCGCATGGAAAACGTCTCGTTATGGTGTCCCCTGGCTCGGCAGCCCCACGGGGAAGGGTGGACAGTATGGTGACCATCGACGCTCCGCAGTGCGCAGACATGCGCACATGCAGCCTGCTAGACAAGGAATTATTGAGTGGCCTTCAACGCATCCAGCGACTGGAGGCATCTTGGATGCATACTGGGGTATCTTGGACTGCCTCTCGGGGGGCTCTTGGAGGCGTCTTGAGGCTTCTCGGTTGACCCTTGGGGCATCTTTGGGGCGTCTCGGAAGCCTCTGGAGGTATCTTGAGGCCGTTATGGTCTAGAGTAATCGAGAAGGATTGAAAGTCCCCCTCATTTTCCCCCTCTTGGGCCCGTCTTTGGGGCATCCTGGGTCCCTCTCAGGACCCTCTTGGGGGCTCTCGGGCGTCTCGGGTCAATCTTGGAGACACCTTGGGCCATCTTGGACGCATGTAAGACCGAAAAGCCGAGAATGCAACAATCAGAATCGATCGAAAACTGTCTGGGCTATTCAATGATGTGGGCCTCTCGGGCCAGCCACTGGGGCTTCCAAGGTGGCCCAAAACTGCCCTTGGCCCGACTCGGGGCCTTCTAGGACCTTGTATTCATCTTAGTACCCTCTTGGCCCGTCTTGGAGCTCTCTGGCTTCAGGAAGAGCCACGCGCCACAGCCAGGAAGCTACGCGAAAAGCCACAGGAGTCGCGCGGGAAGCCCCGAGGAATCCGGAAATTTGAGTTCTGGGCTTTCCAGAAAGCATGTTCAATATCCAACACTCAGCCTACAGGACCCTAAGGGGTCTGAGGGCAATCCACCCTATGCCTACGGCACTGTGGCGGAGGCCTTGAGGAGTGCAAGCCGAGCTCTCTTCCGTGGCGGGGGCGGAGGCCACCAGAGCGTCCATCGAGTGGCATTCGTTCTCGAACGGTTTCTTCGGTAGCTGCGTACCTTTCGCCTCATCGTCATCCCCTTTCTTCTCCTTCCTCGTCCTCCCCTCTCCTCTCCTCCTCATGCTCCTCGACCTCATAATCCTCATCCTCATTATTCCACCGCCTTCGTACCCCTATCATCCTCCGTTTTCCCCCCTCCTTCTACTACCTGGTCCGCCTCCTGGGTATCTTCCCCACCCCAAAGTATTCAATCGTCCTCTTCCTCTTCCTCATCCTCCCCTTTTCCCTCCTCCCCTTCCTCTTCCTCCTCCTCCTCGTCGTCTTCCTCCTCATCATCATTTTCCTTCTCCTCCTCCTCCGCCTCCTCCTTCTCATCCATGGCATCCTTGTTTCTCTCGTCCCACTCCCCCTCCTCCCTCCTCCCGCTCCCCCTCCGCTTTATCTCGCTACCCCCTTCCCTTGCGACTGGTTATCACTGCTGCTGGCTGGGGTTTACTGCGGCCAGTCGGAGGGGGGGTCCTGGAGGAGGAGGCAGGAAGGTCAGGAAGAGGCGGAGGAGGAGGAGGACGAGGAAGATTACAGGCAGACGGCCTTGAGACAGCAATTGCATGCGTGTCGCGCAAAGCTTCTTCACAAGCACCTTAGTAGTCAGAGCAGCTTGCGGAGCGCAGGGTATCTCGGCACCGCTGCCTTCCAGCTTTCCGCTGTGATGGTCGCCAGGTCTCTACTCGGAAAACCGACGGCCTCCCAGACAGCAGCAGAGACAGAGCGAGGAAGGCGAGATCCCCCAACCTCCGCTCGGTCGCCCACTGCGCCCGACGCCGGAGACCACTCGTGCGGCGGGCTGCGCTTCGCACCCTCCTCGCTGCTCGTCTTCCTGCTCATCATCGCCCTCCCTCCTCACGGTATTATCTCGCCTTCTTGATCGCTTTTCCTCCTTATCCGTAAGGGCTTCGCCCCCTGCCGCCGGCCCCCTCTCTCGGAGAATGGGCCATGGAAGAGCTAAGTCATGAGGCCTTGGCGCTGTCGTGAAGCAGTATCGAAACTTCATGCGAAGCCGATTCGCAATCAGCAAAACCAACTGATCACAAGAGGGGTTACCACACCTGGCGATTGGTAAGACGTGTATGGTTTACGGGCTTGGTTACCACACCTTGCGATTAAAGGGCCGAGGGAGTTCTCGCAGTTTGGGTCACCACGCCTTGCGATGGATGTGTGTGAAGGGTGGCACCGAATTTCAGAAATGTGGCAAATCCCCTGTGTTTTTGGACCCTGACCCCGCGGATCTGCGTAAGCGGCGGATTTTCTGCATCTCCCTCCGCTGCAGGTTGTCTGTCCTGCTCTGTCAGGATCTGTAGGCGATGTCGCGGATGTCAGAACAACAAATCCTCCTTCTTTGCTCCAGATGCCCGCCATCTGGCCGGATCGGCGCTCGGTCGCTCCCTTCCCCCCCCTTCCACCTCCTCCTCCAGCCTCCTTCCCATCCTCCTTCCTCCTGCTCCTCCTCCCCCTTCCGCCTGTACCCCGTCGGTTTATCATCATGCTACCTCCGTCTGCCCCTCCCCCCCTCCTTCCCCCCTTCCGCCTCTGCATCCTCCCGTTTTGCCAGATCTCTTCGTCCCTCATTCCCATCATCCCCCTATTCACCTCATCCTCATCCTGCTCGTCCTCTTCATCGCCAGCCTTATCATCATCGTTCTTCTCCTCATAATCATCATCATCATCACCATCAGCAGCAGCACCATCGTCATCTTCATCCGTATCACCCTCAGTTTCAGTATCACCATCGCCACTTCTCATCATCACGAGTATCAGCATGATCATCATCAGCAGCATCATCAGCAGCAGCATAAGCATCAGCACCTGCATCCTCCTCATCATCAGCAGCATTACAATCGTCATCCATATCGCCACCCTCATCGTCATGATCAGCAGCAGCATCATCCTCATCATCCTCTCCTACACCCCGTCTTCTCTTAATACACCCTTCCTCGTCGCACCATCAGACGTGCGACGAGGAGGGCTGGGCAGGCGTTTCGCCTGAGACGCCCGCATGTTGTATGACCCCAGATTTTGGCACCTCTACGAACTTCACGGGTGGAGCACAAGTACAGCGGGGGCGCGCATCAACCATTTGAATTTCGTCCGGGCATTTTTGGTTTCTTCGCTCCGCGAGCTGCGCGGTGACTTCCCGCAGCCGTTGAAGAAGTTGTTGCGTTCAGGGTGCTCCAGGTGTCCCATAGGGTGCACCTCGCGCGCGGGTTTTCAGGGTTGGGTTTCTGCCAGGGTTTCGTGTGTCCGCGCCCGCATTGTAAGATCCAAAGTGTGGTTGTCGCCGTAGCGGTGCGACCGTTCGCCCCTAGGTACTCCAGCAGATCCATGGCTGGAAGGTCCGTGGTTTTCAAACTATGTGGCTCGTTTCAGCGCCGCGCACACCCCTATTGTATGATCGTGAGGCCGAATGGTTTCATTTCCTTCGCCGATGGAGGGCGATTCCGTTCATTACCCTGTGACGTACCAACCCATTTGCATCAAGTGACAAGAGGAGTTGGCCCAAACTTGCCAGGACAATGACAGTGCAGGCGCCGATATATGCTTTGAAGGCTACATGGGATGCGTTCACGTGACACGATTCACAGGACAACAACAGAAGGACGAGGAGCGAAGGCCCAGGCTTCAGGAGTGCATGGGGGCGGGAACAAAGGGCAGGAGAAGGACGCGTGCGTGGCCGAAGCATCAGCGCGGCAGCAGCAGACGGAAGGTGGCAGGGAGCAGAGGACGACGACGAAAGTGATTGGAGGAGGCCGAAGAGTATTGCTTTTGTCGGTGGTACGCTAAAGATCCAGCGCTGCTTGCGCAATGTCGCCGCGGCGCTCGCAAAAATGGTCAAACCTGTTTATAGTCAGTGCAAGAAGCGAGCCAGGCCCAGCTCGCCCGCCAACTTCGCAGCCTCCCAAAGATGGCGAGGTCTCCTGGTGGCCCGCGTAAAACGTCATTCCGCTGGACCCCACAGCAGCCCTCGAAACTGGCGACAGTTTCACAGATCGCAGCCCTTCTGGGGTGACGAGGTCTCATTTGAATTTGGGTAAGACGTCATTCCGGTGGACCCCCCGGCAGCTTTCGAAAGTGGCGACAGTTTTGCAGATCGCACCCCCCCGGAGGGACGGCGAGGTATCATTCGAATCTGGGCACGACGTCACTCTATTGGACCCCCCAGCAGCCTTCGACAGCGGCGACAGCTTCGCAAATCGCAGCCCCCCAGAGATGGCGAGGTCTCATTTGAGTCTGGGAAAGACGTCACAGCCTTCGACAGTGGCGACAGTTTCGCAGATCGCCCCCCCCCGAGGGACAGCGAGGTATCATCTGAATCTGTGTAAGACGTCACTCCGCCAGACCCCCCTGCGGCCCTCGAAAGCGGCGACGGTTTCGCAGATCGCAGCCCCACAGGGATGGCAAGGTCTCATCTGAGTCTGGGTAAGACGTCCCTCCGCTGGGCTTCCCAGTAGCCCTCGAAAGCGGCGACAGGCTCGCAGATCACAGCCCCCCAGAGATGGCGAGGTCTTACCTGAGTATGTGTAAGACGTCACTCCGCGGCGCCCCCCAGCACCCCATCGACAATGGCGACAGCTTCGCAGATCGCAGCCCCGCAAGGATGGCGAGGTCTCATTTGAATCTGGGTAAGACGTCACTCTGGTGGACCCCCCAGCAGCCCTCGAAAGCGGCGACAGCTACGCAGACTGCAGCCCTCCAGGGATGGCGAGGTCTGATTTGAGTCTGGGTAAGACGCCACCCCGCTGGACACCCCAGCAGCCCTCGAAAGTGGCGACATCGTCGCAGATCGCAGCCCCACAGGGATGGCGAGGTCTGATTTGAATTTGGGTAAGACGTCCCTCCGCTGGACCCCCCAGCAGCCCTCGAAAGCAGCGACAGTTACGCAGACTGCAGCCCTCCAGGGATGGCGAGGTCTCATTTGAATTTGGGTAAGACGTCACTTCGGTGGACCCCGCAGCAGCCCTCGAAATCGGCGACAGTTCAGCAGACTGCAGCCCCCCAGGGATGGCGAGGCCTCATTTGAGTCTGGGTAAGACGTCCCTCCGCTGGACCCCCCAGCAGCCCTCGGACGTGGCGACAGCGTCGCAGATCGCAGCCCCACAGGGATGGCGAGGTCTGATTTGAGTCTGGGTAAGACGTCACGCCGCTGGACCCCCAAGCGTTTGCGAAAGTGGCGA